CCCGCGCCGGTTCGTGCCCGGCCGCAGCCCCGGTTCCTCTCCCCGTGTCTCCCACGGCGCAGTAATACACCGCCGCGTCCCCGCGCCGGGGCCGGGCGAGCCACAGGGCGCTGGACCGGTGGTCTGCCGACACCGACAGCCGCCCCGGAGGGGTCTGCACATCCTTGGACCCTTTCAGGGTGCTCACGAGGAATGCGGGGCCTCGGCCCGGGAGCTGACGGAACCAGTAGATGTAGTTGTAAGACTGGATGTTGGGGTGTGAGCAGTTGATGCTGATGCTGGTGCCCTCGGTGGTCTCTGCCGATGGCTCCTGCTGCACCTGGGCTCTGGCCACAGTCACTGTCGAGAAAGAAGAAGGAAAGAAGAAAGATTGTCAAAGATCACTCAGTTCTGATGGCTCGTTACCAGACAAACAGTAAAGAGCAGTGGCAGAGCCAGCGGACAGGAAGAGATGGGAAAATGTGCCTGTGACGGAGAGTGATCCTGGTATGACTATGTGGTGTGTGGAGTGATGGGAGAACACTGGGAGAGAGTTTGAAATACAGGCATGCAGAGATTAGATGAAAGTCAGGTGCATGAAAGGATGGAGAGAGCAAGAGTAGGAGAAAGGTTCTTATCGTGAACAACAGCTAAAATCAGTGCAGTAATAACGACTTCACGCACAGGGAAAGGAGACAGCACATGGAAATACAGGTGTCCAGGCAAGCAGGGTCATAGCGACAGAGGTGGCAGAGAAATAGCGAGAATGGGAAGAGGACACTCGGAGTTTATGATGTGGGGAATAGAAAATTAGTTCGATTTTGCTATAGCTTTAGCTTAATTTTGTTATATAATTTTGCTTCTATATTAAAGTGAGAGTTAAACACTGTTATTCAGTTTAGTTCTGTTCTTTGTAGTCTTGCTAACAAGGACTGTTGTGGCTCAAATGTAGCTAACAAGGACTGCTTGCGAGACAGACGAAGAGAAACAAGGACTGATAACCAGAAATTTGTTGTCTGTAAGAAGCAACTCTCTAGCTGAAACTGCTTCTATGTTTTGGGACTCAGCCAACACAGACAACTCAGGAATTTTTAAGCCAAAGGTGAAAGCACACAGCGAGGAAGACTATGAGCCTTCATCCATAACACCCCCACAGACGACCACCAGACGACACTGCGCAAGTGCTAAAGGGGGGTGGAGTATGATAATGAATTCCTAGAAATAATTACAATAGTCCAGCCAATTTAGATAAGCTTTGTAATAAATAGGTCCATGCTTTGTGACTCGGTGTGCAAGTTAGGAGGAGCGATTCCCCTTGCACCCGGCGCCGCAATAAGCATACCTGCTTTAGAACTCTCTGAGTTGTGAAGTGTGATTCCGCACGTCATTTATGGAAAGGGGGACTAGAGCTGGCAGAGGGGCAGGGACGGGGAAAGACACCCCGAAGAAGGAGAGGGAAGAGTTCGTGCTGGGCTCCCTGGGGAGCAGCCCGGGCACAGCCCCGGCCCCCGCCCACCGCCGCCAGCCCCGCGCAC